TTATCAAATGATGAGCAAAGCCCTTAGCAGTCTCTGTCCTCGTTGAGCTTGTAGTCTGTTGGGAGACAGACATGAGCCAAGTGTCAACATAAATGTGAAACTGCAGTCAGAGTCAGGCCTATGAAGGAGCAGAACAGTGCTCTGAAAGCTCATGATGGGATCTAATGTAGCTGGGGAGGCCCAGTTCCGATACTGTGACCTTGGTCTGGTGGATGTGTGGAAGTTACACAGGCAAAGAGGGAAGAGGGTGTACTTTAGGGGATGGGGGGACAGTGTGTTCCTGTGTAGAAAGGCCCTAGAAGGGCTAAGTCACTCAGAGTTGGGGGGAGTTTTGAATTAAGGCTTGTAAACTAGAGGTGCAACATCAAATTTGTGTTTTGCAAAGATAACCCTAGATGAGGAAACAAGTGAGGAACAAGGCTAGACTTTTTTGAGGAACTTTTTCATAATACAGAAGATTATTATTTCCAGACGAGCAAATCTGGGTAATTCTTAAATTCCTAGGTGATCAGTTCATCAAGGTCACTGCTTCTCAGCGGGGCAGTGCTGACATTTAGGCAGAGCAGTCTCCCCTGGCACAGTGCTGTCCTGAGCACTGCAGATACTCAGCATCTGTAGCTTATGAGAACTCAACCAACAAACATACCTGCACTTGCTTCCAGATGCCCCGGGGCCAGGTGGCTCAGCTGCTGGTTGGGAATCAATGAGTTAGACTTTCAAATCAATTTTTATAAATTTGTAGGTACTTTACATTTCCTTTCATATCTGAAAACATCAACTACTTAACTCGAATTAGTTTGATAATAAAAGGGAGGATTTACTGACTCAGACCTTTGAAAAGCCTATGAATGTTCAGGCTTATATAATTAGTGGCCATGGGGGCTCAAATCATCTTTTCAGGAATGTATCTTTCTCTGTTTCTCAGTTCAGCTTACTTTGCAAAGTCCTTATTCTCAGGCAGTTTCCCTTTACATGATGATAGCAATAGCCCTGACAGCTGTCATCTTGTGTTTAGAATGAAGTTTGATATCAATCAATAATCAGTGTTTATATCATATCACACACTTAACCAACAAGATAATAAATGAAGCACAGTTGTTTCCTTATTTTTTTTACTTTTCTTACCTGCTACCCTTACATAGTTTTAGATATATAAATATTTTTATATATTACGTGTTTTTTAAATTAATTTTCATGGCCTATAATCTCTTAGATTTCATTTACTAACAAGTGTTACAGTTTCAGTATAGTTTTAATGATTTCTTTACTCCTCAGTTTTTCTTGGACCCCGTGTCTTCTCACGTGCTCTTGAATTTATTTATCTATTTGTTTATTTTTGCTTGAGCCCATTTCCCTTTCTGAAATAATTCAAAGATAGTACATTTCTAAGTACTTTACACTTCTGAAATAATTTTATTTCGCCTTTCTGCTAGTTTGACTTGGTAAAGAAATTTAGGCTTAAAATAAGTTTCCCTTACAAATTTGAAGACATATTTTAACTGAATTTTAAATCTATTGTTGCTATAAGGAATACTGATTATAAATTGTTCTTAAGACATGTGCACATGTATGTTCATTGTGGCACTGTTTGCAGTAGCAAAGACTTGGAACCAACCCAAATGCCCATCAGTGATAGATTGGATAAAGAAAATGTGGCACCTATACACCAGGAAATACTTTGCAGCCATAAAAATGTGTGAGTTCATGTCCTTTGAAGGGACATGGATGAAGCTGGAAACCATCATTCTCAGCAAATGGACACAAGAACAGAAAACCAAACACCGCATGTTCTCACTCATAGGCGGGAGTTGAACAATGAGAACCCATGGACACAGGGAGCGGAACATCACACACTGGGGCCTGTTGGGGGGTTGGGAAGCTTGCGAAGGGATAGCAGGGGGTAGGCGGATTTGGGAGGGATAGCATTAGGAGAAATACCTAATGTAGATGACGGGGGGATGCAGCAAACCACCATGGCATGTGTGTAACTGTGTAATAATCCTGCATGATCTGCACATGTACGCCAGAACTTAAAGTATAAAAATATATATATATATATTGTTCCACTTGTAGGTAAACCTATGTGTATGCCTGTGTATGTGCGTGTGTAGGGGAGTTGGGATGGCTTTTAGATTGACTTTCTGATGCTTGGAGTTTATAAATAATTCTAAAATATATCTAGATATTTTTAACTCCTTTTCAGCATCTGAGTGTCATTTCAAAGTTAAAGCTTAATATATAGGGAGAGTGAAAAGGTAAACATATGTTTGGAAATGCTCATCCTAAAACAGAAGCCTATTTTTCTTCTTTTTAGACAGGGTCTGGCTCTGTCATCCTAGCTGGAGTGCAGTGGCACAATCTCCACTCATTGCCAACTCTGCCTCCCTAGCTCAAGCCATCCTCCCACCTCAGCGTTCCAAAAAGTAGCTGGGAGTAGAGGTGCATGCCACCATGCACAGCTAATTTTCATGTTTTTAGTAGAGAAGGGATTTCGCCATGTTGCCCAGGCTGATCTCACATTCCTGAGCTCAAGCAATCCAAGGGCCTTGGCCTCCCAAAGCGCTGGGATTACAGTGTGAACCCCTGCGCCCGGCCACAGAAACCTTCTTACTGTCCATAATTGTTTCCCAGTTGATTTTCTTGTTTTTTTGACATATGAAATAACATCATCCTCAAACAAACTTTGATGTCTTCAAATATGTACACTTCACATATCTTTTTCTTGCCTATTGGCATGCTAATGATGCTGATAAAATACCTTTGTCTTGTTCTTAACTTTAATATCTTAATGCAGTGATTCTGCTGTTTTACTATTTGGTATAATATGGACCGTTATTTTTAGGAAAACATTATTAGGTTTTCTTTATATTCTTTTATCCCATTTTATTAAACTTTTTATCGTGAATAATTGCTGAGTGACATCACATGCTTTTTGTTTTGTTTGTTTTGTTTTTGAGATGGGCTCTTGCTCTGTCATCCATACTGAAGTACAGTGGCATAGTTATGGCTCACTGCAGCCTCTGCCTTGTGGGCTCAAGAAATCATCCCACCTCAACCTTCTGAGTAGCTGCAACTTAGATGCATGCCACTAGGCCCAAATAATTTTTGTATTTTTTTGTAGAGACGGGGTCTCACCATGTTGCCCAGGCTGGTCTCAAACTCCTGGGCTCAAGAGATCTGCCAACTTCAGTCTCTCAAAGTTCTGGGATTACAGGCATGAGCCACCACACACAGGCTCATCACATGCTTTTATTGACAGCCGTGAAGATAATCTTGCAGACTTTTCTCCATCTTATTGCTCTTATAAATTATGATAATAGACTTTATACAACTGGATGGTTCAGAATAAAGTCTGTTTTTCATATTGTCATATTTGTTTGCTTATTGCTAAATTTGATTTGGTCAGATTTTTATTTATAACTTCTGTTTCTAAAGTAAATCTGTGATTTTCTTTTTTATAGTTTCTTTGTTAGTGTTCAGTGTCAGTGACACAGCATACATTGTAAAAACAACTGGAAAAAATTGTTCTTTTCTGATTTAGGCCGGTACAAATGGTATGGGAATTTGTTGTGCTTCGTGGGCTATACGCTCTTGCAGCTACTCGGCTTTGCTGTGTAGCAGCCATAAAAAGTACAGAAATCAATGAACACGGCTGTTTCCCAATAAAAATGTCATTTACATTAACAAGCAGGGGACTGGGTGTGGACCACAAAATTTAGCTGGCCCTAACTCAGCCTTGTTCTGGGCGTTTGGAATACTGCAGGAAAAGAGAAGCAGTTTCTGCTGTTGATACAGCTTACAGGCTAAGGGAGGTGGGAAGTAACCTAGAAGTCCTGATGCTCATACTAGGCAGTATACTCAGTCCCTGCGGAGTGGGCACAGCCAATATTTGTTGGGTGTACGAATACAGTTCTGTAGTAGCAGTGAGCACAGCATGTTATAGTGGGATGAAGACAGGTGCCTTTGTGATGGCTGTTTTACTCTAAGGACGAATTTTTTTTCTCCAAGGAATAACTTCATGGCTATGACCTGGATAGTTGAAGTTACCAGAATTCTCAATATAGGTAAATACTGTATTCATGACATAGCTGTAGCCCCAACCCACTCAGGACAGTAGGATATGTTAGGCATTGAAGAAATATTTGTTGAAGGAAATGGAAGAACAAATGAGTGATGAAATGAATACATGGTTTTCCATTTAGAAATGGAAAAGATATTTGTTGTAAAAGCATAGGACATGGGAACAGCTAGTATTAGGTCAAATACAAAATCTACAGTTTACTATTCATGTAATAATAGGGCAAGTTAAGTTACTTCTCGGTGCCTCAATTTTCCTAATATGTAAAATGGGGATAAAAATTTTCCTGAGTTAATATTGTTATTGTGAGGAACAGGCAAATCAATTCATATAAATTGTACAAATGTGTCTGACACATAGTAAACAATAATCAGTACAGATTTTTATTACACAGTACATCAAATAAAATTCAGCTAATGCAAATGTGAAAACCATGTATCTCCTTAGAGGTTACATTCCATAGTTTTTACAACTGATAGAGACACCAACTAATCAGAATGAATGATGATCATAGTTTATGACAGAGGCTCAGATCCAGGTACCAGGGGAGGCCTGAAAGGCTCTGGAAGAGGAGTTAGGATGGCAGAAGAGCACTTGGGAAGTTTGGCCAGCAGCTGCTTAACAACTGAAATGGAAGTGTCAGTTGGTAACAGAATACACAGCTGACATGCATCCCTCCAGCACAGCAGTATGGATGCATATCAGCTGTGTATTCTCTTGGTATCTGCTAGTATGAACACGTAACAGTGACTTTTATATATATGTTGTATTCATATACTTGTATGTTTATTTACATATAATGCTAATACCATCCAGTGGGACTATAGGACAGCTGAAATTAATATTTATTTTATGATGAAGTTTACCTGTGAGTTCTTTGAATTTCTCATTGGCTTACTCTTGTTTTGTCATTTGTCTTTAGATATATGCAAAAAACCTGGTGAATGCCGATCGTTGTGCACTTTTCCAGGTAGACCATAAGAACAAGGAGTTATATTCAGACCTTTTTGATATTGGAGAGGAAAAGGAAGGAAAACCTGTCTTCAAGAAGACCAAAGAGATAAGGTACAGCCAGAAGTAGAATGTCCTATCCTCTTATGATAGATGTGCAGGTGTTCTGTTACCCATTTTTCTGTGCCTATTCACAGGTATGCTGACAATACTTGTCATACTGTGATATCATTCCCACCAGGACCCGCCTCCTGAAGGTAGTACTTCTGGGAATGACATTGCAGTCAGTGCCAGCGAAACAGCGCCTAGGAAGCTTTAGCGTCACTCCTGGAAATGCCGTCTTCCGGAGGCGGTCCTTTTGGAAATCATGTTGGAAAAACTTTCTAGTGCTCCCAGGTAGGTAAAGGTACACTCCACCTGGAATCTGCAGGTTTTCCCATGTCCAAGAGAAAAGGTGTGCTTATCCAATTTGGCCCCTACCTCTTCCCAGCCTATGGCCTGACAGTCCAATCAGTAGTAGAAATTGATCTGGTATAGTTGATGACTTAAATACACTCTGTAACTGACCAGTTGTTTTAATCAATCACATAGCACACTTGTGTTGCATCTTGAAACTAAAGTCTTTGTTTTTTTAAGTGGCAGCGATTGTCACTTAAATGAACAGAATGGAGTTTATTTTGCTGATGGAGGCATGGGGGCTCGCTCATATCACACCTGGAAACCTACAAAAGGAGCACTCTGACAAAACGTTTAAGAATCAAGCTTAACATTCAAAAGTTGAGAAAATCATTTTAGATGTTTTCATTTCTTTTGCTTTATGTGTCTTGTTTAACTGCTTTTCTGTATAACACCATAAAGTTCTCTGGTAATGACAACATTTTAGTAAACACTGTGTCTTCTTAATTAAGGATTGTTATATATTTGGGCAGTCTATCATAAAAGGAAACTAATGTCAAGGAAACTCAGCGTGTGCCCCACCATGGGGTCCCACCACTCTCTGCCTCTCAGAACTTCCTCTATATTCTATACTCATGTAACTCTGGTTTATGGGCACTGTATTGCTACTTGGGCTTTAAACATTTTTGTCTGTTTGTTGTTGGGTTTTCTGTTGTTGTTGCTAGATCTCAGTATAGCAGTCTGGATATAGTCATTTAGATAAGCCATTTCTCTTGCTGAAGATTTGAATGTTCCCTAACACTGCTGGTGTTGATTTAATTTTCAAAATAATGACTTAAAGCCTGTATTTATAAGCATAAGAAAAACACAAGAGAGTGCGATATACTGTAACTCTCAGATGACTGGTTAATAGCAGCCTTTTCCGTAAGAATTGCTTCTTAATTATGGTATTTCACTGACCATAGTTAGCAAACGACAGAGAGCATGAACATAAGTTATAGTTCAGACTTCTCTCAGACCCGCACAAACGAGCATAAATCATGAAATGGATTCTGCTATTCTTTGCTCCTGGCAATCTGATTCTTTATGTTTATGTTGTTCAAAGCACAAGAAAACCAGGAAAAAAGGCAACCATGAGTTTTATGCAGTGTTTGGTTCACTCTTTGTGTTTTAAGTAGATTCTCTTTTGTATTAATTATATTTTGAGTTTTTCTGATAGTCCTCAGAGGTGAAGCTTTATTTCATTAATGATTATTTCCTATAATGTTGATAATGTAATATGGAAATTACTTTTGAACTATAGAAAATGTAGATATTGTGACATAGACATCTTAAGGAAATTTTGAAATGAGTGCATGTGTAATGATAGTATAGTAATGAGAAAAATATAAGTATGCAATTATTTTTACAAAGGAAAATTACTGATATTAGATATAAAATATAGATAATGCTTGTATTTTGATTGTTTTAAATTTTAACAAATTAGGTAAAAATGCTAGAAGTTGTACATTGTGTTATTTCTGTATAGTACTTGCATTGCAAACACCATTAAATTCAGTTCTGTGTAATATCTCAAGCTCAGGCATAACCCGTGAGTTTCGTTATATATGTGAAAGAAAGCACAGTGGTAGAGACTGGCATTCTAGTTTTCATTGTGCCACTGGTATCTGATGAATGTTGGCAAATTACTGAAGCCATGTAGGCCTTTGTTCATACTTCATTGAGAATCCACTAAAAAAAATTATATTTAAGTATCTTGTAAATTATAAGGTACTTTGCAAGCAGAAAGGATTATTATTGGTCAGAGCAGGAGGACACTAGTTGATTGTTTGATCTCGATTTGCGAATTAATATTTTAAGGCTGTTGGGCGATTACTGTGTAATACTTTTCTGCGTTATTTTTACATATTTTATAAGGTGATTTGGAACATGTAAATGTAGAATTAATACATGCATTTAAGTAAAGCAATGCTTTTAATTAAATATAGATAACAATGGAATATTTTAAATTGTTCTACAGCATCCATATTTTAATTAGCATGTCCTTCTGTTTTACATATGCAGGTTTTCAATAGAGAAAGGAATTGCTGGCCAAGTAGCAAGAACAGGGGAAGTCCTGAACATTCCAGATGCCTATGCAGACCCACGCTTTAACAGGTAAGGAATAGCTGATGCCCCCATTGGTTTCTTCTGTAATGTCCCACTCAGCTGCATCCTCTTCCCTGGAGCCTGAGTTCTCCATGTCCCAATTCAGTTCTTTCCTCCTAAGTTTTCTTCTTTGAACCAACTCAGCTATCACTAGTCAGTATATTCAGATATTTATAAAATGATGGATTCGAATCCACTGATATATAATGATATCTAGATACAGGAGTTTAGAATTTTATAAAAATAACTGATAGGCAGAAGTTTTCATTTATAGAGCTATGTGGGATTTTTGTATTATAGTGTCATGATTTTGTGATGAACATATTCTCCATCAAATCACATGCTCAAAGGCTACAACACATAGTAAGAAATCTGCAGACTTTTGAGATGAGTAGGTCTACCTTTGGGTCACAGTTCTGTCACGTATTAGCTGTTAACTGACCTAGCATAAGTTACTTAATCTCTCTGAGCCTCAGTTTCCTCATCGCTGCTAACATGAGTACGAGAATGCCAGTTTTGTTGCTGTTGTTTTAAGATCACAGATAATATTCATAAAAGATCTGGAAAATTTACCTGACCCAAAGTAACTAAAGAAGTTGTGTCTTTTATTGGATGTTATTAAAGATGGATATTTGGATAGCTTATAAAGATTATTGTTTTGTTTTGACTTTCTTTGGAGAGGTGCAAACCCAATTATATAATTTGATTTTAGTAAACATCTAGAAATGGAAAGTCTCAGGATTGCTGCTATGACTGTTAGAGAGAAATATTTATAGTAGTTTGACAGCAGTGTTTAGTTAATTCCAACACGTTGTTTACCTTAAAAGACAAATAACATAAGCAATAGGAAGTTTATTCAGGTATTTGATCAATTGATGTCAAATATGCACAACTCATATAAAAACATAGCAATATTCTAGTCATATATATTGTCAATAAATTAAGGGTATACTGAAAGCTTATGTTTTCTAAAAATCCAAGCACATCATTTAGTACTTAAAATTTTAAAATATTTGCATATCCTTATGTCTAATCTTTATGTAAAAATGTATGAGTCAGACTATTTAAAAAATGAAAATGCAAGCAACTGATTCAGAGAAAATATTTGTAAAACATATCTGACAAAATACATCTAATATATGAAAACTCTTCCAACATAACAATGAGAAGATAACCCAATTTAATAAAAAGGGCAGATAATTTTAAGCCTCCACAAAAGGAGATATTCAACTGATCACTAAACACAAGAAAAATGTTCGAAGTGAGAGTAATATAAATGTAATTGACATGAGACCTCACTGTACACCAGCTTGAATGGCTGTGACTTTAAAACATTGGCATTAGCAAACATTGGCCAGGATGTGGAGAAACGAGCATCCTCATACGTTGTTGGTAGGAATATATTATGGCACAAGTGCTTGGGAAAACAGGTTTGCAGTTTCTTGACAAGTTAAACATGCACTTACTGTACAGTCCACAAATCAGCTCCACTTCTCGATATTACTACAAGAAGACTGAAAACATGGTGCTACAGGACTTGTATGCAAACCTTCAAAGCAGCATTATTCATAATTGCCAAAAACCGGCTATTAACACATAATACTGTCCATTATTTGTTGAATGAATAAACAAAATATGATATATCCATTCAATAGAGATACAACTCAGCAATAAAAAGGACTTAACCACTAATACATGCAACAACGTGGATGAATCTCAAAAACCATTATGCTAAAAGAGAGAAGCCAGGCACTGAAGACTCAGATGTAACTACCTACCCATTAGCTCTATCACTGTTTCTATGGAACTTACCCAGTCCTGTTTTCAAAAAACATTTTATAATGTATGCAAATCCAAATTATATAATTTGATTTTAATGAACCTCTAGAAATGGAGAGTCTCAGGATTGATGCTGTGACTGTTGAGAGTAATATTTACAGTAGTTTGATAGCAGTGTTTAGTAGATATCGTGACTCGTCACAATAGGAGTCAGCAAACTTTTTCTATTAAGGATCAAATGATGAGTATTTTTGCCTTTACAGGCACTAAGGTCCTTGTCACAAGTCCATAGCTCAGCCTTGTAGGGTGATGGCAGAATCAGACAATCAATGAATGAATGGTGTGGCTGTGTTCTAATACAATTTTATTTATAAAACAAGAGAGGACTGATTTGGCCCCTGGGTGCAGTTTGCTGACCACTGCTCTAAGCTTTTAAAGTAGAAAGTCTATAAGTTGGTTTAGCAAGTGACATCTCTCATAAACATGACCAACTTCAAAGGATCATGTCATTTTACCAAATTTAATTGTATTTCTCCTCTGAATTCACTTTTTAAAAAATCTGTTTACTTAGTAAGCAGGCTGCTGGATACTTCAAATGAGAAGCTGAAAGCCACTTAGAGACTATCCTAGAAAACTCTGTTGGAAACAAAAGAACAAGTGGGTTAGAATATTTTTGCAAAGTTTTTAATAAAACACTTTGAAATGTTACTGTCCCTGAATTTGGAAGCTAAAAGTGCCATTACAGTCGTATGTAATAGAAGCATATAAATTGCAAAGACTTAGGGGAGATTTATGATTGACCGTGTCGTTTATTTCTTCTGCCTTTGTTTGTGTTTGGTTATTTTTGGTTCTGTCCCACCCCACAGAGAAGTAGACTTGTACACAGGCTACACCACGCGGAACATCCTGTGCATGCCCATCGTCAGCCGAGGAAGCGTGATAGGTGTGGTGCAAATGGTCAACAAAATAAGTGGCAGTGCCTTCTCTAAAACAGATGAAAACAACTTTAAAATGTTTGCCGTCTTTTGTGCTTTAGCCTTACACTGTGCTAATGTAAGTAGTATTTATTAAGTACCATTTCTTTCCTACTCAATATTAATTTGAAACCTTTTTCATAAAGCAGTTTAAGGGGATTTTTTTTTTTCATTTTATATTTCCTTTACAAACCAGGAAAAGTGAGTGATTCCTGATTGTACGTGTTTTTAAAAATGCCATAAATTGCCCTGGAAGAAAAAAGAACAATCTCCTAATAGTTTGCATTTATTTCAAGATGAGAATTTGTTAAGAAGAATAATGAAGTCAGGGGGTGGGGCAAGATGGCCTAACAGGAACAGCTCAGGTCTGCAGCTCCCAGCGAGATCAATGCAGAAGGCAGGTGATTTCTGCATTTCCAACTGAGGTATCTGGCTCATCTCAATGGGACTGGTTAGACAGGGGGTGTAGGCCACAGAGAACAAACCAAAGCAGGGTGGGGCATCACCTCACATGGGAAGTGCAAGGGTGGGGGAACTCCCTCCCCTAGCCAAGGGAAGCTGTGAGGGACTGTACCATGAGGAACAGTGCATTCCAGCCTAGATGCTATGCTTTTCCCACCATCTTCTCAACCCACAGACCAGGAGATTCCCTCGGGTGCCTACAGAACCAGGGCCCTGGGTTTCAAGCACAAAACTGGGCAGCCCTTTGGGCAGACACTGAGCTAGCTGCAGGATTTTTTTTGCATACTCCAGTGGCACCTGGAATGCCAGCGAGACAGAACCGCTCACTCCCCTGAAAAGGGGGCTGGAGCCAGGGAGCCAAGTTGTCTAGCTTAGCGGATCTAATCCCCATGGAGCCCTGGAAGCTAAGGTCCACTGGCCTGAAATTTTCACTGCCAGCACAGCAGCCTGAAGTTGATCTGAGACACTTGAGCTTGGTGTGGGGAGGGGCGTCTGCCATCACTGAGGCTTGAGTAGGCAGTTTCCCCTCACAGTGTAAACAAAGATGCAGGGAAATTAAGACTGGGCAGAGCCCACCACTGTGCCAGAATGCCTCTCTAGGTTCCTCCTTTCTGGGTAGGGTATCTCTGAAAGAAAGGCAGCAGCATCAGTCAGGGGCTTTTAGATCAAAATTCCATCCCCTGGGACAGAGTGCCTGGGGGAAGGGGCGGCTGTGGGCACAACTTCAGCAGACTTAAACATTCCCGCCTGCTGGCTCTAAAGAGAACAGCACTGCACTGGAGCTCAGCTAAGAGACAGACTGTCTCCTCAAGTGGGTCCCTGACCCCTGGGCCTCCAGACTGGGAGAAACTTCCCAGCAGGGTTCGGCAGACACCTCATATAGGAGAGCTCCAGGTAGCATCTGGTGGATCCCCCTCTGTGATGAAGCTTCCAGAGGAAGGAACAGGCAGCTGTGGTTGCTGTTCTGCAGCCTCTGTTGGTGATATCCAGGCAAATAGTGTCTGGAGTGGACCTCCAAGCAAATTCCAGCAGACCTGCAGCAGAAGGGCCTATTAATTAACAAAAAGTAATACCATCAACATCAACAAAAAGGACATCATACACACAAAAACCCCATCTAAAGGTCACCAACCTCAAAAACCAAAGGTATATACATCCACAAAGATGGGGAAAAACCAGTGCAAAAAGGCTGAAAATTCAAAAACCAGAATGCCTCTTCTCCTCCAAAGGATCGCAACTCCTTGCCACGAACGGAATAAAACTGGACAGAGAATGAGTTTGACAAATTGACAGATGTAGTTTTCAGAAGGTAGGTAATAACAAACTCATCTGAGCTAAAGAAGCATATTCTAACCTAATACAAGGAAGCTAAGAACATTGAAGAAAGGTTAGAGGAATTGCAAACTAGAATAACCCATTTAAGAGAAGAACATAAATGACCTGATGGAGGTGAAAAACACAGTACAAGAACTTCTTGAAGCTTACAGAAGTATCAATAGCTGAATCAATGAAGGGAATACAGAATATCAGAGATTGAAGAGTAACTTAATGAAATAAAACATGAAAACAGGATTAGAGAAAAGGAATGAAAAGGAATGAACAAAGCCACCAAAAAATATGGGACTATGTGAAAAGGCCAAACCTATGTTTGATTGGTATACCTCAAAGTGACAGGGAGAATGGAACCAAGTTCGAAAACACTCTTCAGGATATTATCTAGAACTTCACCAACTTAGTAAGACAGGCCAACATTCAAATTCAGGAAATACAGAGAACACCACAAAGATACTCCTTGAGAAGAGCAAAAATGTTAAGGGCAACCAGAGAGAAAGGTCAGGTTACCCGCAAAGGGAAGCCCATCACACTAATAGCAGATCTCTCTGCAGAACCCCTGTTACAAGCCAGAGGAGAGTGGGGGCCAATATTCAGCATTTTTAAAGAAAAGAATTTTTAACCCAGAATTTTATATCTGGCCAAACTAAGCTTCATAAGCAAAGGAGAAATAAAATCCTTTACAGACCAGCAAATGCTGAGACATTTTATCACTACCAGGCCTGTCTTACAAGAGCTCCTGAAGGAAGCACTAAATATGGAAAGGAAAACTGGTACCAGCCACTGGAAAAACATACCAAATTGTAAAGACCATTGACACTATGAAAAACTGCATCAACTAGTGGGCAAAATAGCCAGCTAGCATCATAATGACAGGATCAAATTCACACATAATAATATTAATCTTAAAGGTAAATGGGCTAAATGCCCCATTTAAGAGACACAGACTAGCAAATCTGATAAAGAGTCAAGATCCATCAGTGTGCTGTATTTAGTAGACCCATGGACTCATGTCACATGCAAAGACACACATAGGTTCAAAATAAAGGAGTGGAGGAACATTTACCAAGCAAATGGAAAGAAAAAAAAAAGCAATGGTTGCAATCCTAGTCTGCGATGTGATAAAACAGACATTAAACTCAAAAAACACAAAGAAGGGTATTACATAATGGTAAAGGGATCAATGCAACAAGAAGAGCTAACTATCCTAAATATATTTGCACCCAATATAGGAGCACCCATATTCATAAAACAAGTTCTTAAATACCTACAAAGAGGCTTAGATTCCCACACAATAATAGTGAGAGACTTTAACACCACACTGTCAATGTTAGACGGATCAACGAGACAGAAAATTAACAAGGATGTTCAGGACTTGAACTCAGCTGTAGACCAAGTGTACCTAATATACATTTACAGAACTGTCCACCCCAAATCAAAAGAATGTATGTTATTCTCAGCACCACATCACACATTTCTAAAATTGACCACATAATTGGAAGTAAAACACTCCTCAGCAAATGCAAAAGAATGGAAATCATAACAAACAGTCTCTCAGACCACAGTGCCATCAAATTAGAACTCAGGATTTAAAAACTCACTCAGAACTACACAACTACATGGAAAGCAACCTGCTCCTGTATGACTACTGGACAAATAAATTAAGGCAGAAATAGGTTCTTTGAAACCAATGAAAACAAAGACACAATGCACCAGAATCTCTGGGACACAGCTAAAACAGTATTTAGAGAGAAATTTGTAGCACTAAATGCCCACGGGAGAAAGTGGAAATACCTAAAATCAACACCCTAACATCACAATTAAAAGAACTAGAGAAGCAAGAAGAAGGAAATTCAGAAGCTAAAAGAATACAAGAAATAACTAAGATCAGAGCAGAGCTGAAGGAGATAGAGACATGAAAAACCCTTCAGAAAAAATCAATGAATCCAGGAGCTGATTTTTTGAAATGATTAACAAAATAGATCACTAGTCAGATTGATAGAGAAGAAAAGAGAGAAGAATCAAATAGACACAATAAAAAATGATAAAGGGGATATCACCACCGATCCCAGAGAAATACAGACTACCATCAGAGAATAATATAAACACTTCTACGCAAATAAACTAGGAAATCTAGGATAAATCCCCAGACACATACACCATCCAAGAGTAAACCAGGAAGAATTTGAATCCCTGAATAGACCAATAACAAGTTCTGAAATTGAGGCAGTAATTAGTAACCTACCAACTAAAAAAAAGCCCAGGACCAGAGGGATTCACAGCCGAATTCTACCAGAGGTAGGTACAAAGAAGAACTGGTACCATTCCTAATGAAACTATTCCAAACAATAGAAAAAGAGGGACTCATCCCTAACTCATTTTATGAGGCCAGCATCATCCTGATACCGAAACCTGGCAGAGGCACAACAACAACAAAAATTTTAGGCCAATATTTCTAATGAACTTTGATGCAAAAATCCTCAATAAAATACTGGCAAATTGAATCCAGCAGCACATCAAAAAGCTTATCCACCACAATCAAGTCAGCTTCATCCCTGGGATGCAAGGATGGTTCAACATTGCAAGCCAATAAATGTAATCCATCATATAAACAGAACCAATGACAAAAATCACTTGATTATCTCAACAGATGCAGAAAAGACCTTTGATAACATTCAGCTCCCTTTCATGCTAAAAACTCTCAATAAACTAGGTATTGATGGAATGTATCTCAAAGTAATAAGAGCTATTTATGACAAACCCGTAACCAATATAATACTAATGGGCAAAAGCTGGATGCATTCCCTTTGAAAACTGGCTCAAGTCAAGAATGCCCTCTCTCACCACTCCTATTCAACATATTATTGGAAGTTCCAGCCAGGACAATCAGGAAAGAGAAAGAAATAAAACGTATTCAAATAGGAAGAGAGGAGGTCAAATTTTCTCTGTTTGCAGAGGACATGCTTGTATATTTAGAAAACTCCATCATCTCAGCTTCACATCTCCTTAAGGTGATAAGCAAATTCTGCAAAGTCTCAGGATACAAAATCAATGTGCAAAAATTCACAAGCATTCCTATACACCAATAATAGACAAACAGAGAGCCAAATCATGAGTGAACTCCCACTCACAATTGCTGCAAAGAGAATAAAATACCCAGGAATACAACTTACAATGGATGTGAAGTACCTCTTCAAGAAGAACTACAAACCACTGCTCGAGGAAATAAGAGAGGACACAAACAAATGAAAAAACATTTCATGGTCATGGATAGGAAGAATCAAT